TTTCGTCAAATGAGACGAAGAGTCCCGGATTCACGATGTACTTTCGATCCGACTCTATCTTCTACCCATGATCGCTGTAGTCGAGAGGGACGAGCACGATACAAAAAGACAAAAAGAAAAATCGCACAAACGAAAAAAAAAAAAAAAAAAATGAGAGGAAACTCACGAGGATAAAAATAGGAAGAAAATAAAGTCGAATGGCAAGAACGGTTAAAATAATAACGATTATGATTAAAGGAACGAATTACGTAGATACGAAATGATTAATCTCATGCAGCATTCTCTCTTTCTCTCGCTCACTCACTCTCTCACTCTCGTTCATTTTTTCTTTTTTTCGCAGAATTTCTCTGTCGCAATCGATGGAGATTGTCGTCGAAACGATATCAGAACGGAAACGTTACGGAGAAGACAATCGGCGCAACGTGGCGCAGAAAACGCAAAAGAAAAAGTAAAAAAGAAGAAGAAGAAGAAGAAGAAGAAGAAGAAGAAAGGATATCGCGTGGCGCGTGAAGTTAGGAATTAGAGATATGGTTCGCGAGCGTGATCGAGTCTTTTACAAAAGAAGGTTTGCGTGAGAGAGACACGACGAATGAAGCGCGTTACAAAAAAAAAAAAAGAAAAGCAAAAAAGAAAGGTTAGTTCGGTAGATCACCCTCCCACTCCTCACGTTCACCAGAAAATAAAAATCGTTTCCGTACAGAAAATCTAGAGAACCTAAGACAGTCGTCGGCTAGTCCTAATGATATATTTGAATTAGTCGTTACCGGCTACCCTACTCTCCTCCTTATATCGTAGTAATAAGTCATCGTAGTTAAGTGTTTCATTTAGTTTCATTCTTCCACACACACACACACTCTCTCTCTCTTTCGTCGTACATCTCTCGCATTCTCTCTCTCTCTCTCTCTCTCTTTCTCTCATATATCTCGAGTAACTGTCGTCACAGAGACGTCTTTTCGTACAGCGTACACTAAATCGAGCTATAATCTATCTTCGCCGGCGCGATTGTCGCTGCTGGATCGGATCGATCGGAGGTTCACAAACGCGATGGTCCCCAAGCCGTTTTCAATTCCACGGTGATTCACTCACGTTATAATAACCGAACCGGTATACGGGTGGTTCCGCGTGCAGTTAGCTGATTGATTTACGAGAACGACGAGTCTGCCGATTCCCGTAGGAAAATCGGCTCTTCTGCCTCCCTCCATCCCTCACTCCAGCCTCCGTCGCGATCCAGAACGCCACGATCGCGCCCGCGCAATATACAATACTCCATGATAATATTACAAATAATGTATCTAACAACGTTAAGTTCATCTTAGATTGCTTTCCGTGATCACGCCGACTCGTGCACTCCGCGGTCTGAACGTGCATTCGTCGAGGGCTCGAGCCAGGATCGTTTGAATTGCCGCGTCTTTTTGTCGCTCTCGATCGTTTCATCCGTCATCATCGATCGCGTCCATTTTTCCTCCTCGATGGCCGTCGACGCGTACACGAGAGACTCGTGGTTCAAGATCATTGTGTACCTTAGTAATTCTCTGCGTCTTTTATCGAGTTCTACTCTCTCTCTCTCTCTCTCTCTCTCTCTTACTCTTGCGTTTCCTTATTCCTCCTCCGCTCTTATTGTTTCACTCTCTCTCTTTCTCTCTTCTTTTTTCTATTTTCTCCGAATAACTCTCCGCAGACGGTACGACATAGGCAGGTTGTTCTCTTTACGTATCGCTTCGTCACGACACACGCGCGTCCTGATACATGCTCCCTTTCATTCTCTCTTCGTCGTTCGTCATTTAGATTCTCGTCAACCACCGTCGTCATCCACGCGCGCGTCGCGCCGATTACTTTCGAACTACGAGTCGTCGCCACTCTCGGTGGCTGCAAATGTCCCGCGTTACGAGCGATTTTCCTCTCGCTCCGAATGAGACGCTCGCGAATGATACGCTCGACGCGGCACGCTTCCGCGTGTCATCCTCCGGGAGTCACGAGCAGACGAACCCGAAGAGAAGAGAATGAAAAACGTTCTCTCCGATCGTCTCGAAGGCAACTCTTGAACTCACGACTCGCGCTTACTAGGACACACACAGTCTCTCTACGCCGTTATATTCCGCCGTTAAGGTTCGTCTTACCTTATTCGTTCGAAAATTAAGTCCTTAACTCTTACGAGATAATACTATTCAATACTTGTTTTGAAGCTCATAATAAGTACATATTTTGAGGATTAAGTTACCGATTATTGTATTAACCTTACTCACCTACGATCTCTTCTCCTCTTCTTCGTGTACATTAACATTTCTTCGTTCTCTCTTTCTCTCTTTCACACACACACACACACACACACACAGGCGCGCATACACACTCTTTTTCTCTTACTATCTGACAGTGTACCTTTGTATGCCGTCGACGCGCAGATAGATACAGAACAGAAAATCGTCGAGCACGGCGTTCGAAACCTCTGTACAAGAATAACTAACGGTTCGCGCGTCGAGTCTGGGACCGGTCGGGCCGCGGCCCTCTCGTCGCTTCCGGTCCAAACTAGGAGGAAGCCACGCGCAGCGAAGAAAAAGATGGCGCGCGCGGTCGCGGCGCGAACCACTCAACAATACGAACGAGTTTTTTTTTTTTTTTTCTTATGTACAAACTTAAGGGCAAGAGCGAAACTATCACCGACTCGTCGCCGGTGTTTCTCTTTCTTTCTTCTTTTTTTCTCTTTTTCCTCGTCCTCCTTCTCTTCCTCCCTTTCTCCCTCCATCTTGTCTACTCACTCGTTATTACTATACTTATCATTTCTTGTCAATCGTTCGTCGTTCTTCGCCTCGTCCGAGGGAACTCGGGTTCCGTACACGCGCTCGTGTACACGCACATTCACACGAAACGAACTGGCGTCGCCACATTACGGATCTATGCTTTACAGCCTATGTACGCGTATGTACGTAATACTATGGATGGCGAGCTGGGTCCACTCAGGGAAACAGCGACCGTTCCACGAATTGTTTAATACAGCACCGGTAAGCATCCATCTCCGTTGGTAGAAACAACCGCGATCGTCGACAGATCGGTTGATTTCGAAGGATTTTTAGCAACGAGAGTAATTAAAAATTTGGTTTTTCAAGCATCTTTCGAAAATGAGAGGAAAAGTGTGCTTTCGGTAGAAAAATGTTGGAACAATCTCGGAGTGATTGCTTTCGTTGGAAGTAAATTTTAATTAACAAATATCGAAAATGTCGAATTCAAGCCGAACCGATCGTCCGCGACGATCCGAGTTTCTACGGATTAAAACATACCTAAAGGTAAACTAATGCTACGTTATAAAACACGATACGATTATAAAACGTTAAAATCGTAAATTATTCGCGAGCGAAGGTCAAAGTATAAAACAAAAGCTTGGAGCAGAAAACTCGGAAAAGAAACCTCGCGGAGAGTAGAGAACGCTATGTATATATATATTCGTTCGCGTCGTACGGTTGCATCTCGTTCCGAAGAGAATCTTTATAAAAATACCATGCACTATGACGATCCTATGTACATACACACGGACGTTCTCGGACCGGAAGAGAAACGACTCTTCCTTTGTGTTTCAATCGAACAACGGCAAACGCCAATGTGTTTTACCAACCTCCCCTCTCTACGATCCCTAACTGCTCACAAAAATTAGGGGATATTTGAAAATGAATAGAAGCATTTAATTTTTGTTTTGATAAACAAGAACATCAGAAAATATTACGTCATTGGCTTTTCTGATGTTCCTGCTTAATAAAAAAAAAAAAAAAAGAATCAAATGCTTCTTATTCATTTTGAAATGTTCCCTGATTTTTGTGAGCAGTATATGTTAGAATAAGACCGGCGAATCGTCGATCGACGCGATCGAACGAACGGAAAAACGAACGAAGAGAAACGCGCATGCTCCGAGGTTGCATGCTGCTCGAAACAAGACATCCGTGTGACTCGAGCGTGGATTCGCGATAATTTTAAATTCTGTCTCGTACCGATCGTCTGTCCGATTGACCCGCGACTATGACCACTGTCGATTTGCCGGACGATTTTTAAGCTCGAGATCGAGACCCGATTCGATCCGGTCGAAAATCGTCGAGCAAACGACAGTAGTATGAATTTACGCTACTCTAGGCTCGGAGGTATGTATATACATATATGAGAGTGTTGCTTTGTGGCATCTAAAGTGACACGTACCCGAAGAAATTCGAGTAAATGCTGAAATTGGATGCAGATAGATTCGTGTGTACGTATATATATATATCCAAGTGCATAAATGTGTGTGTGTGTGTTTGGCTTTTGTGTGTTTCTATAGGTTTGAAGAGCGTATAGCGGATATAAGGATGACAGGCCTTACCAATGATTTCCAATACGCGTCAAACGCACCTGCGTAGCACCTTTCAGAGTTTTCGTGGATGATTACGGTAACAGTGATATCGTTGGATGGTTAGGATTAGCTTGTAAACACGGGCTCGATTATAGCGATATGGATGGAATTGTCTAGGCTGTCGTTTCGAAGAGAGACCGATCGATCGGAGTTGTAAAAGAAAATTCTACGAAACAACGTTTGGAAATCAGACTAATCAGATTGTCATCGAATTCCTCCCACCTTGGATTTCTAATTTACCTATCGAAATTTGAGTCCGATGAGTTAAAAATTCGAGATACGTACAAGTGTTCAATTCGTTAAAACTTTAGCGGAGCTCGGTATCGATAAAACTCCTTCCCGTGCGTTCAGGATTAAAAACAAAATATTAGTCTCGTAATATTATAATATTATAGAATTATTATATTTTATAATATCAATAATATAATTATAATATATAATATATTATATATAATATAATATCAATAATATAATTATAATATATAATATATTATATATAATATAATATCAATAATATAATTATAATATATAATATATTATATATAATATAATATCAATAATATAATTATAATATATAATATATTATATATAATATAATATCAATAATATAATTATAATATATAATATNAAAGACGTTCCAAACGAATCCCTGCAAAGGACCCCCCCCCCCCCCAAAAAAAAAAAACTGTAATGCTACAGCTATAATCTATGGAGCAAGGAACAGAACAGTTACACTAGAAAAAAAAAAAAAAAAAAAATAAGCGAGGAGAACGAAAACTCAGCGGTTTCGCCAATTAGAAAACGACAGATATATATATTTCGTCGATCGTAGGCGATCGTGAAGGAATCGTGCGGGTCGAAGACAGAGACGGCAGTGCATGTGTCGCGAGAACGTCGTTGATATGAAAAAGCTAAGTATCATGCGCGCGCGCATGCGGCAGCCGATTAATAATCTCATGTGTAACCTGCGTGACGTTCGAAAACGCGTCGACATGGCGTCGCGTTCTCTCTTTCTCTCTCTCTCTCTCTGGACGCGTTCCATTCTCTCCCACTCTCTCTTAATCTCACTCTCTCCCTCTCTTTTTCTCTTCTTTCTCCAACTAGCAAACTGATATACAACTTAGACGCAAGATCGTAATATCGATCCTGACTCGTTACCTCTGGCTCGTTAAAACTACGCTAAAGCTCGACCTTACGGTATTTATTTTCTCTCTTCTCTTCTCTTCTCTTCTCTTCTCTTCTCTTTTCTTTTCTTCTCGTCCCGTCGTCGCCTTTTACTCTCGGTTGTTTGCTCCTGTAACCTCTTTCGATTCTCGATAGAGCGACCAATCGAACGCGTTCGTACGCGACAGAGGCTCGCTCCGCTCGATCCTCGATCTATATCCTCTTTCTCTTCCTTTCCGCCTTGTCTCGTCTCGTCTCGTCTCGTCTCGTTCGTATCACAGATCTAAGGAAACAGGAGGATTGATTTCCGGTTTCTAAACGCGTTGCTTCGCGGACGGACGCCTCGATTCGAGCCGCGTTTCCATCGTCACCGATGATCTGACGCCACGGATCGCCGATCTTTGAAACAATCCCTTCCAACGACCCTTTCTCCTGACCTTGCGTCTCCCTCGCTCGGAGAACCGGTCCACGCCGTGAGAAACGTGAGCTTAGGAACCGTGTGTGTGTGTGTGTTTGTGTATGTATATGTGTGTATGCGTGTCAACGAGCACAGTCCGCGTGTACCACGATCGCCCTTCCGGCCCGTCATCCGTCCTTCCCATCGTCGTTCGCACTCGTTTAAGGCGCACTTACTCTCGAGACCTAGATCCTTGAGTTCGTCTCTCTCGCGAGTTCTTCTCGAACGCGTCACGAGAAGAAGCGTTCACCAGGGAGGATTATCCGTCGAAAACGAAACCGACTGTACACGCGCGTTGTGGCAGTATAGAGACACGACGAAACGACGAGTGACGGACGCGATGTGAACACACCGCGCGTTGTGCCAGGAGCCTCGTTCCACCGATCGGAATGCGAATAATCTCTCTTTCTCTCTTTCTCTCTCTCTCTCTCTCTCTCTCTTTTTCACTTGAACCTATGAATAATACTATTTCTTACGAGTATCTCTCTTTGTTGACTTAGCTTAGAATTTGCTCGATAGTTTTTCGTCGAAAGAAACGTTCCGGGCGGAAGATGAGACCAATCGGGACGAGGCTCGTCCAATCGATCGAGGATGGATGTCATCACGTCGCGGTGAATTGAAACGATGCTCGTGTTCCGGACGTTCGAAATTTGCCGGTTTTCTTTGTTTTTTTTTATTTTTTTTATTTTTTTTTTTTTGTTTTTTTTGTTTATTTTTCCCCGATACGGACGCGTTCTGTGGCATTCACTTGGACGAAAGATCGTCGACAGCAAGAAGGACAAAGGCAGTGGTGTAACCGGTCAGAAGGAGAGTGAGGCTCGTCCAACTGATCGTGGATGGACCGCGATTCTTCGGCAGGACGCTGGCGCGTGGCAGTATGTCGGGATCTCGGCTAGACGAGGGCTCCAACAATCGGCTCCATCAGACCAAGGGGGTGCCGTATACCTCGTTTGTGTGTAAATTTTGATTGCTGTCGTTTTGCCTCGATGCGCATTGCTGTAACAGGCATAATCGTCCGGATTCTCAAGCAGCTGAATGAGAGAATTTAATTTCCTTCCAAACTCGATAAAAACATTATTATTACTTGGATCTTATTGCTTTGAAATTAAAATTATTTCGATTAATTGAAAATTAATAATACGCAAAGCATTATTACTTGAACCTAATTGTAAGGTGAGTGTTTTGAAAAATTAATAATACGTGAGAAGTATCCAGTTGCCTAAATATCTGTTGCTGCCTCGTGATTTTATATCGTGTCAGTTTGTAGCATTTCTAATTGTCCCTTTTTCATAATTATAACTGTAATTCTTAACTGCAAGTTATAATTTCCTTACAGTTAAACTCTTAGCAATAAGATCAGTAAAAAGCGTAGAAGTTTTACTAAAAGAATCCAAGTAGTAGGAAACAAGATTCGTTTGCGGGATAAATCTCCAGAGAATTCTAATGAAATCAGAAATGAAAGTGAAAAAAATTCTTGCCACGAAGGATAACGAGAGATTAGGAGAAAAGAAAATGAAAAGAAGAAATGCTTTCATTTGCATCTCGTCGGAGAACCTACCGCTTGCTTCCTTTCCCAACTCTTCATCGCCGACTTGTATTTCTCGAACTCGTGACACCAATCCGAGTATATCTTCTGATAGTCGTTCGACTTGGCTGGCGCGGAGCATCTGTGCGCGTCCACGGTGATGTTGTACGAGCAAAGGAGCGAACCACCGAGCCAACAATCGTATCTTCCGGCATCTTGCTCGTTCACGCCAACGATCACCAGACCCTTCTCGGACGTCTCGATGAACTTGTCCCCCCCGGCGCCGTACTTGTAGGCTATCTGATACCTGCCTTTCTCCTTGCTGTAGTGGTACCACCTGACTTCCTGGTTCGCCAGCACTTCCGGCATTTTCACGAAGCAACCGAGATGCACCGACTGGCCCCAGGTGACTACCAGCTTCCGTTTACCCACGCTACTGTCGCAAACGTCTGCCGTACTGTTTGACACATCTTGGAGAAGTCTGCGAAAACGAAAACAAACGTTGGCCATCATGAGCACGGCATTTTCCTTTGTCCTTGTTATCGATATTCTTCACTCGCCAATATTGGAAATACGTCGATCTTGCATTAAATTTGAAATCTTACCGCGTTCTGTCATTTTCTCTAAAATTGAAAAATGTCTCGAGTTTAAACGAAAATGCGACGAATTTTTCTTACTAGCAACCTTCGACTGAGTTTGTTAAGACGTTGAACGTTTTGTCTAAAATTAAGAAATGTCTCGAGTTTAAACGAAAATGCGACGAATTTTTCTTACTAGCAACCTTCGACTGAGTTTGTTAAGACGTTGAACGTTTTGTCTAAAATTAAGAAATGTCTCGAGTTTAAACGAAAATGCGACGAATTTTTCTTACTAGCAACCTTCGACTGAGTTTGTTAAGACGTTGAACGTTTTGTCTAAAATTAAGAAATGTCTCGAGTTTAAACGAAAATGCGACGAATTTTTCTTACTAGCAACCCGCATTATTCTTCGACTGAGTTTGTTAAGGCGTTGAACCGTTGACTTCTAAAAATTAGTAAAATTAATAAATCCTTTATTTGTTTATTTTTTTAATAAACTTTTTGTTTGCTAAACCGAGCGCAAGATTGAAATATAAAAATTCGAGGTTCGTGGCAGTGTTGAAGTTTCAGTTTTTTAAAAAATTGATACTAGAACGATTGAAACGATTGAAACGAGTTGCTGATGCTTCGGTAGAAATTTCGTGGATCGACAATGACAGAATTTCGAAAAATTTCTCAAAGCCTCGCGGATAAAAGTTTGTAACATGCGATACCAATATACTAAGAAAAAAAGCATTGTATCTTCCATTTTAATTTCTGCGCAGTTTTCGTGGATTTTTGAAGCATTTCGTGTGTGTTATCGGTGAAAAAAATTTAATTTTCAATTAATTAAACGAGTATCGTCCATCGCGAATGAAAAGATAAAACAAAAGTTTGCGTTGCACGCTATACAAAATTAATGCCCCTTTGAATATATAATAAATCGGATAAAATGGCACGAACCCATGGCCAACAGAATTATAAGCGGGTTATGAGAATTTCAGAAAAAGAAAACGGAGGGACGAATGTACGAGGTCGAATTTATTAAACTGGACCAACCTAACTGGGTCATTCCGGGTGCATTGAATTTCATCGTGAAATTGAAATTTCGAGATATTAAAAAACGCGATAATATTTAGCTTTACGAAAGCTATTCAATTGAACTGCACGTATTATCTATTTACCTACGCTGACTAATTTTGAATAAGTAGCAAAAATTTTCGTGCTAATAAATTTGTCAAATAGAACCATCAGTATTTATAAATAGCGATATTACGTAACCTAGTTCCTTCAGGAAAGAACGAGCGTCTTTCATTTCATGCATTTTTCACGTAGAAACGAGCTCTATCACTACGCTCGTTCAATGTTTAATTTCAGCCATAAGCTCTTGATATTGTACAATTTTTTTTTATGAACATAGCTAACAATCGGTGATGTTAACTGTGAATCAGAAAGCCCTCATATATAGTTCTTTCACATTTTATTCAAAGACTCGAGGTTCAAACCTCTCGATATTTAAAGAAAATTATCTAATCAATGTAGGATACTCAAAAAAAAAATATTATTACATACTTATTCCAGAATGATCGAAAACAAAAGTACCAAACAGGTAATGTCTACCGATTTCGTTTCAGCGATACAGTAAATTTTTATCGACCCTTCAAAATCGAATTCTTCGCCGGTAATCACGGTAATGTCGCGTCGCACCGTTAGATCGAATCGCGCCGGAAGCAATTCCACTTTTGGAACCTCGGATAACGACACAGCGACACACTCACCCAGGTTCGTACGGTTTGCACGTGTTGGTGTCCTTGTCCCATCCGCAGTAAGGATCGTGCACGCAGCGGAGACAATTGTCGTATCGACGGGTGCACATCACCAGGTCGATCTGCTTTATTCGATGGTCGGAGGCAACGTAAAGAGCCTTGTGCTCCTTCGAGATCTCCATCGCTTGAATTGGCTCGCCTGGCGTCACGTCAAAAACGTCCAACAGGATAGACTGCGACTCGCCGTTACTGTTTATCCACTGGACAACTTTGTGTACACGTCCATCGCCTGTAACACGCGAGAGGCACACAACAAAGTTGATTTATCAACCAGTTGACTCGAGATCAATGAGCCGACATTCCGATCGACTCGACAATTTTATTAGCTTCTTAATTTCGTCAGTCTTGAAATATCGAAACGACAGATTTATTTTCAATTAAGAGAATTTTCTCTTGAGAGAATGATATGCGATTATAATATTCGAACATTAAATATCGAAAAAAAAAAAAAAAATGATACGATAACAAAGTTGAGCTCATTTTAAAGCTTGAAACCTTCTACCTTTAGTTTTATTGACAGTACGTAACAGATGGCGAAGTGAAGGTTCTTTTCTTCTGGAAAATGCTACGAATCGTCACAGTACGTTAACATGTTGAAAAATTGTTTTCACAACTGAAATCTGGACTGGATTTGAAGATTGAAGCTTTTCCTTTGTAGAACATTTCCGAACAAAGTGAACGATGCATTTCGAAAGTGGGAACTTCAAATACTTTAGAATAAGTAAGGTCTACAATGTGATTCTTTTTTTTAGAAAATTATAACAGTTTTCAATGTTTGACAGTGTCTGAATATATAGTCACAATGAGAATCGCTGTGAGTAAATTCTTATAATCCTTATATCAATTTCAATTTATAAAGTTAATCAATACGATCTGCGAATATAATCCTTATATCAATTTCAATTTAAAATCAATCAATATGATTTCTGAAACCATACGGTTCCTCAGACATCGTCGCGTTAAATTTGCAACATTGATTCGTCGTGATTTAACTTTACCTCGATTGGAGGAGAATTTTTACGTTATTACGTTTACGACAGAAAATTTCATCGAGTAAAATGCAGGAGAAGATTAAAATGCAGAAAACGTATTACTTTTCTATAATTAACGTGTTTGCCATCGGTAACAATAATAAATATCAAAGGCAAATGCTATCAAAAAGCAGAGAAACACGTTTTCCAATTGATTTCATTAAAGACTCGTTATTCGAGCCGGGTGAAATTCAAAGAAGATCAAAGCGTTAAAATTTAGATATAATTGCTATTTGTTCGTAATGGAACAACTTTCTCGCCTTATTTTAAAATTTCATTAAAAGCCAATCTTCGCACGTTCAAGGAACGTGTTAAATATTCCGACGTAATTTCAAAGTATTCTTATTTAAAATAACTTTGAGTAACAAAGTGTTGCCTTTTTTCGAACGACCATCGTGCTGAAACGAGCTCTTCCTTTCCCGATTTCATTTTTCATTTTTCTGTTTCTTGGACACATTCAATTTCAAAAGCTAACGTGAAGCAAACGCAGATAATATAATATAATTTAAACAGATGATTTCTGCTAAAGAAATCCATTCTTAGAAATAATAAGAAAATTTGAAAGATAATGTGACATCGTTTCTCTCTATTTTTCAATTTCGTGGAACTTGACAGTTACAGTTACTAAGTGGCTCCGTGTACGGAAAGAGAATGATTTACTTCGTCTGTGTCTGATATCGGAACCAGCAAGCTGTAATTAATCGCGGAGTTTCTGCTCGTTTTTGCAACTTTGTTTCTTGTACACATAGAGTCTGCAGATGTACGCGAGGATTCGCGATTATATTAGTTTTTAGCGGTAATAGACACTCACAGTTGGCTGCGAGACGAGAGCAGCGATTGCAATAGCAGATTGTACGAGTCAACTCGGCAAGAACTTTGAAGTTCCGCCCGTGATTATCTTGCCAAGTTTCTCGACGACAAATCGGCCAGCGCAAAACGCGCTACGAGAGAGTCCTGAATTAAATTTCTTATCGCAATTCCGCGGCTCGACGTTTAATCCTGACACGCGGTGAAAAATGTAAATCACAAAGTTGCTAAAGCCCGATTAAAGCCTGTCGTTGCAAATAAAAAATGCCACAACTGGAAGAACAACTTTCAACACCGTTCACAAACCATTCAGAAATGTAGCTTAATTATACAAAATGAAGTTGACTGCTAGTTAACTGTCTAATGTACGAGAAACGAGTTAAATTCAATTCAACTAGTCGTTCGATAATAAAGTTTATGATCGTTGGGTGACGAACGAGATCGACCGATGCTTTCTATGCATGATATTAATACTCACTGGATCCTGCATAGTAGACCGTGTAATCCAAATCGTTGCCGACGAAATCGATTCGTAGTTTATCCACGACCAACCGCGTGAGCATCACGTCGCGTTTATAAAAGACGGGTTTTTCATTCTCGTGCGATATGGCCGAGTCCATCAGGGGATGAGATCGGATGAAGTTCAGCACCGTGTCCGGGAACGTTTCAGTGTCGTTCACACATTGACCCGGTCGCGGTTCAGGAACTTTGTTGGAGAGCACCGGAAGCCAGGCGCTGCTGCTCGTCGCCTGTTCTTTGAATTTTCCACGGAACGCCTCTTGAATCGCGTCGATATGGAACGAGCAAATCGCCGAGCCCATCAATCCGTTCGTCGACGTGGTGAAAGTACCGTAAAAGTGGGTATCGTCGCCCGGCACCTTGTAAATACTCTCTGTTGGATATAACAATGCGTGCGACCATTAATCTCCTGGCGAAATTTTATTATAACATTTTATTACATGCTGTGAGAAAATGATGCGACATGAATAAGTTTCGGAAGTTTTATCCTGTCGAATTTTTTTACGCGGAGGATCTTTTCACGCGTGACAATCTGTTTCAGCTTAACTTTGTCGGTAACGTTCTCTCGAGTCGACGATCTTACAACCAGTGTATTTTCGCACCATTTTCCCTTTGAATTTTTCATGTGTTCGTCATTAATCTCCTGACAAATTTAACATTTAAAAATTTTATTGTATACTATGAAAATTCAGTGGAACAATAACGCGATATAAGTAAGCCTAGGAAATTATATCCTATAAAATTTATTATCATCTTTTTACGAGTTTATAATAATTTACGAGTACGTGCAACGATCTGTTTCAATCTAAAATTTAACTTTATTGATAACGTTCTCTCGACTTCGAGAATATTTGTGTTATTTTTCCTTGGAACTTTTCAAATGTTCACCATTAATCTCCTGGCAAATTCAATAAAATTTCAAATGAAAAATTCAGTGGAACGAGAAGATTTCTTTTCGTGAAACAAATTTAAGAAACCAAATTTTATAATTGTGGAGAATCTTTCGTGAATTTACAATAATTTACAAGTACATATCTGTTTCATATTTTATCGATAACGTTCTTTCGAGTTGAAAATTTTAGTACCTGCGCTATTTTTCCTTTTTTTCACTATTAATCTCTTGATAAATTCAACAAAATTTTATTATAAACAAAATTCAATGGGAATGATACGGATAGATTTTTCTCTTGAAACGAGACAGAGTTAGGAAACAATCATATCATATGAAATATTTAGAATCTTTCTTCTTGAGTTTCCAATAATTTACAAATACATACAACAATCTGTTTCAATTTACTAAAATTTAACTTTATCGACAACGTTCTCTCTTCAATGCTGAGGATATTGGTACTTTTCCCTCTGAACTTTTCGAATGTTATACGATCGTTTGAATTAAGTTTGAAGATTTCTACAAAAAGTGGACTGTTTCGCTTTTGCCGATTATTTGGAAATTAATTTAACCGTCTTTAAATATATTTATGTCGAGAAAAGCGGGAAAAAACTTACGAATTTCGTTGAAGTAGAACGGAAATTCGCCGGGTATCGAGCAGTTCAACCGTGCTTTCAAATAAGTCGACCAGTTCTGCGACAGGATATTTTTACCGCCGGTGTCCCTTTTGCAAACTCTCGCCACGCGGGAGTACACGCTCTTCCCGCAATTTATGTATTCCACCGCCGTCTCGCGGAAGAAGAAGAATACGTGGCTGCCGATGTCGTAAGATCCCACGAAATTAGGTTCTGAAACAGTCACAAAGAATAACAGTTATTCGATCAGTGGGAGGGAAACTTGATTTCCCGCTGATTCCGGTGAAAAGTTTAACATCGTCGCGCACGAGCGAAGTTCGACGTCGCACAGCGGGCCGAGGACTTGGAATTCAATTCTAAAATTGAATCCCAAGAAATCTTTAATCTCACAGAAATTTTTACCATCCTCTCTACACTCGGCGTGCTGTATATAATCGTTATACTCGGAAAGTTTTCAAGAATTTACTTCTCGAGGTAAAAAACTCGCACGCGCGCGCGCGTGCTTGGAAAGTAAAATTGCGAACTGTATCGGGCTGATGTTGGAGCGAAATCGCGTTTTAAACGTTCGACGAGTGTTCCTTGACAAATCTGATTCGTGTTGCTGCACGTCGAGGCTCCTGGCGAGATTTATGGAAATACCGAGCGGAGCTTCGGTAAAAATGAAGGTGAATTCCACGTCGGATCCGGAGAAACAGTAATTTCGGCGAGCAACGGCGCGCCAGGATTCTACCAGGTTGATGAAATTCCCCGCTGGAAGATTTCCGTCGAACGATTTGCTCTTTAAACACCGGCGGACGAATTAGGATGCAAATCTCCGACGATGGTCGGCATTCTTTTGGTCCTGCGAAAAATCAACATCGCGTCCGACGGAAGTCACGCGAGCGAAACGTTCCTCGCGAAAACGTTTTTGGAAATTACTCGAGAACTCTTGCATAATTTGCTATTGGAAGTCGCTAGAAGCATTTTATTGCACGACGAAACTCTTAACACGGGCTTTGAAAACATTCGAATCATCGTTATTAATAATGGCACGATGTTTAACTTGTAATTTAGATAACTCGAGTACGAAACTAGAATTATACAGGATACATCAGAATATGTGGGCGTGACTTTAGAATATCAAAATAGGGGAAAAGGTTCATATAAAGTGGTCGATGTGACGTTTCTGAGATAAAATTTCTGTCTTTCGATAAACTGTGTGTTCTTCATTTAACTGTTATTAGGAGGTTGCCAAGAAATTCGAACAATACCAGTATAATTCGTATATAAATTGATAACATACTCACATGTATATTTATATATATAATATAGTTATTATATAGTACAATTCGTATATATTGGTCACATATTTGAACAATATCAGTACCGATTCAATAACTCTGAACGAGTCAAAATCTCAATAACAAAATCGAAAAGTTCGTAGATGGTCGAGTAATTTCTGTAAAAATAAATTAATAATTGGCACAATACGAAAACGGTCGTGTCCCGGAAACAGAATCGGTATCGAGTATATTTGTATGAATTTCTATTTTTACTTTAGCTGTGTCCACATATTCTGATGCACCCTGTACAATATATGAAATTATTTCACCACGTCCGTAATTCTACGGAACTTTCCAACGTTCAAAAGGATTTTGTACTGAACGTCGAATCACGAAAGATAACTTTTGACAGCGTCGATATTTTACTTGAAAGGTGATGTTGGACGATTCAAAGGGTTCCTCGTTGGAGAAAGAAAAATTGAACCGCAGGAAATTACACGAAACGGAGGGAAACGATCAGAGAAGTTCGAAATTCGAGAGACCGGCGAGAAAGAACAATGAGAAAAACTATAAAACAAACGTTCGAAGGAGCTGGAGTTACGACGCGGCGTGGTAAGTTTTACACTCGAGGGAGGAACGACTTCTCTAGTTTTCATTTAGCACCAGGATGAAGCCTCCAACTCGAACGCATGCTCCACTTGTCGCTTTTACGGCCTGCAATCGTAAAATCGTTTCACGGTTCGCTTCTTACGACCGTTCAGCAAGCATCGATCATTTTCGCTAGCAAATGAACTTTAATTACCAAAGAACAGAGCGCGTGCAAATATTTCTCACTCTGTATACATACATAAATCTTTCCACTCGTTTGTCTGATTACGACTAATTTCTATTTGTTTACCAACTAAAATATCATCGAGTGGCAAAATTACTTTCAAAACCTACACTTTTAATGCGATGAAGAGAAAACGTGAGTGATTGAAAACATAGATTTCGTGTTTCAACAATCTCGAGCATTGTTATATATAGGGTGGGAAGAAAACGGTTTGCCCGTGGCTATTAATGCGAAATTTTTATAAATTAAAAAATTTCTTTTCTCGCATTATATTCTACTCGTCACAAAGGTAAAACATAAGTCGCAACCTAATAGTTCTCTTGAAAAATTTCTTAATTTGCGGATGCGTGCGTGCTAACAGCGACTTTATAGTTCTTGGTTAGGTATCATTAACATTTGACTTATCATAGCTGTAGGCATCAGTGTGATCTAAATAATCAAATAATAAAACAAACTGTCAACACTATTCGAAATATAAACATTACATCCACGTGTTCAGAAGCATAAAGTCGCTGTTAGAACGCACGCTGTTAGAACGCAGAGTTAAATTAAGAAACTTTGTCAAGAGAACTATCAAGTTCCTTGGAAAAGTTTTACCTTTGTGACGAGTGGAATACAAAACAAGAAAATCATTCATCTATGATAGCTACGAACAAACTTTTCACCCTTAAAATCTAATTGCAAGTATAAAACAGAAATAGATTTTAGGATGAAAATGAACGAATGTTGCACAAATAACGAGACAAACACAAATTCTCCAAATTACCAAAATTCTCCCCCTTCGTTCATTCGGTGGTGCTCATCCATCCTCAACCCCGAAAAGAGCATCGGATAAGTAACATCAGCTACGGTCTCGTAAATTCGGCGAAAATTATCCAGAGAAACTTCGAGCGAGCCAGCGTCCACCCGCGCGTCGAATTTTATTCCTCGATCAATTAGCCGTGCGTTCGAGTCACGCCCACCCCCTAATTGACCGTTCACAAGCCGAGGCGGTTTCACGCGACATCGGCGGGGCGAGCAGTTTACCACGACGTAGTGGAAAAAAAAACACGGACGCACCGTGGCGCGTCGAGACGAAAATCGAATTCTTTCTTTTTTTCTCTCCTCTTTCTCTTTTCCTTTCCCACCGCGTTTAAATCGCGCCGCGCGAACGCTAGAGGCTCTCTGTCGATTTTACATTATGCGATGGCGCGCGAGCCAAGGGAGAGGGGGAAGCCGCAATCTCTTTCACAGTTCACCGATTAAATCGATTGTCTGACGCTTCGCCGCTGGAAGTTTGATATATTGAGGCGCGGATGGTTGGAGAGAGACGAGAGAGGGGAAACGCGGCGAAAGATAAAATAAGAGAGAAGGAATAGGTGAAGTGAAACACGACGGTTGAAGCAGGAAAAAGGAAATGTCTCGATTCGAGAGAAACACGCCGGCACCGACGAGTTTTGATTGGACTCCTCTCGTCGCGTCGGGGCGAAACGGTATTGTAGAAGAGCAGAGGCGGAAAACGCTCGAGCAGCGGCACTCTCGATTTCGCTGCCGCGAGAGGAATAACGAAATCACCCTTGGGGCTAGTTTCATAAAGTTTACAAGTGGCGCGGAGAGAGACGTCACCTCTCGCGCGGCCAAATATGAAATTCTATTTTCCGCAACTCTGTCTCTGTTTCTCTCTTGTGCTCGTCCGTGCTTTACCGGCATCTCGTTAACAAATACCAAATTGCTCGCGACCGGTTAATATTCCCCAACCCGCTCCCTTCCTTTTCGCGCCGATGTTCCCGTGGAATTTCTCGATTCGCTACGTCAGCCTTTCCTCGACGCGTTCCCAGTCAAGTTTTCGGCAAGTTTCCCCAACAGTTTGACAGATTTGAATGGCGATGAACGCAGCTTTCCAAGGGCAATTGATCGTTGATGTTCCCGGGTTGGTTTTTAACGTTGACTCGATTCTCAAGTAGTATAGGTCAACCATTGTCTGACGCGTCCAAAAGCACTCATTTCACATCGATATTCGAATTAAAACAACAGGAGAATTAAAACAGAAGGAGAAGGTATCGATAAAATCTATTTGAACAAAATTTCAACTCGTGTCTGATTAAACGAACTCCTAATAATGGAACGAAAGTTACACGTGTTCCGACATATACATTTGTACATTATATTTTTGTATATTTATTTCTTTCCTTTCGCCAAATGCGAACGTCTGAATTTCTACGAATCACAGTGCAGTTACCGCCATCCGTTCAACGGGTACACGGTAACTCAACGCGGAATAATAAACGAACGAGAGCGCGATCGAGGGAAATTTATCGCGCGATATCAAATTACGCGCAACACACGAGCCATTTCCATTTAATGAAACAATCGTCGCGTGCGAGAGATTAATAAATCCACGGCTGCTAATCTTCTCCCGAGTGTTCGGTGTCACCGGAATACAAATGAACGCGAGACCAAGGACGAGGACGAGGAAACTCCTCGCTGCACGACAGCGTCCCGTGGAAGGAAACAAATGACCGAGGAGCATCGGGATCGCCGTTTGACACGGGCAAGGATCCGTGAAAGTGGTCGGTCGGTTATTCAGGACTTGTTAAGCTCCTTCCCGACCAGTCACCGGCTCGCTCTTTTTACTTCAGCCACCCATTGTGTGTGTGTGTGTGTGTGTGTTCGCCTTTATTCACAGAGCCTGGCGATCCTTTATCCGCCCCTGCTCGCGCCCGCAAATCGCATCGATCTTCATTCCACATACTTTACCGCGTACGCGCGAACGAGAAACTGTGGAGAATCGGGAGATAGATAGATAGATAGATAGAGAGAGAGAGAGAGAGAGAGAGAGAGAGAGAGAGAGAGAGAGGAAGGATGAAAGGGTTGGAAACACAGAGGAGCGTACGAGCAGCGGGAGAGGCACGTGAACCTATCCGTCTCTCGGGCCTCTCTCCTGCATTTAATCAACGCCTCTGTTAATAGACAAACTCGATACGGGGAGAGGGGAGAGGAGGGAATGGCTCTTGATGGTAACCGAGTCCCGGCCTTGAAAGCAGAGGGTAAAAGAGCGCGGGGTGGAGAGGAGGGGAGGAGAGGGAGAGGGAGACAGGTCGAAGGGGCGCCGCCTTTAAATTAAACGACGAAACAAACGGCTAATCATGCATCCCGCGAGTGGCTGATGCTCGAGGGAGAGGGTGAAAACGGCTGGAAAGATACAAAGTGGGGTCGACGTCGTTTTCTCCGTTGCCTCGTTCCACTGCTTTCGCCTACTGCTCGCCATCCTACGCGAGACGAAGGAGAGAGCAATGTCGGAGTGGAACGACACCCTAATGGAGAAGTATACAAGGCGAGCTAGCAACTAGTAGTACGAGACAACACGCGACACGCCGCGGGAGAATCACCGGGGTAGACAGGATACGCGTCGCGAAGTTGGACTTAATCGACGACAATCTTGGGGATTTGTGATTCAGTCGATCGTTTTTAACCGAGTAGGGGACAGAAATGAAATAATAGACGAGAGATTCATTATTTTCAGCAAGCGCTGAAATTATAAATTATAATTATTTTAACGAATTTCTCGATCTTTGTGTTCTGTCTTTTTCGCGAGAGATCTTCAGTAATTACATTTTGATCGATCCTTTTTAATTCCTTTGTAGCTTCGTTGGTTCTAACCAATGTCGATAAAATGATCAGGCATCGTCATGTGCAATCTTATTATGTATACTATATATGTGTATATTTTAAAGTATTTTAATATTAATTTTTTAACATTATTAAAATAACAAACGAGGAAGTTGACATAACTTTCTTGGGAAAAATCAATGTCGAATGTAATCTAAATCGCGGAGCGTAGTAAATATCTTGGCAAGGAAGCGCGGCATCGTCCATGTTACACCGTTATTACGCACTTACACAATTACCGCGCCGGTTCCGACATTACCGGAACGTAATCGCAATCAAACGAACCAAACAAATCAAAGCTGTTCGAACGCGTTTGAATCTGATTACCGCATTCCGCGATCCGATACCCGGAACACGTTCTAATCTACATTTTCCAATTTCGACCGCTACTTGCTCCCCCTCCACCCCCCCCTCCCTCTCTCTCTCTCAAATTCCAACTGGTGTTTCGTTTGGTAACGAAAAATCCAACGAATCGCAATAATCCCGGGCCGCTCGCCCTCTCGGCGAGCCAACGACCTAGCTAAAACTGATTAAAGATCGGAATACGGGGGTTAGCTGGCCCACGGTAAAAGGGCGTTTATCCTTTTCATTTCTTTTTTCCTCTTCTTCTTCTTTTTCTTTTCCTCCTTCGCCGCCATCGACGCGAGAAAACGCTCTCTTCTTCCGGAAAAAGCCTGCCACCGACCGAACATTTAGTCGAAGAAAAACCGGTGTGCCCCGGTGTTATTTTATTACCTCGTCGATTCTTCGAACCGACACCCTCGGCTCTAAAGCCTCGTGGCGCTGTATACTAGCTGGCCGCGTTACCCTTCGAACCGCTTTCTATATCTTTCTCTTACTAACACCACCGCCGACAACGACGACGACGACAACCTCCTTTTACGCAGTTTCCGCGCCGTGGAAAAAGCGTGGAGCCTTGCTGAAAAGACGGAAATATCAGCGCCCTCAACCTCCCCCCCCCCCCCCCCCCCCCCCTCGACCGTTTCCGGAGAACAGACGCCGCGGTATCGGCTTTATACGCAACTATTTAAGCGAGTTATACCCCCGCATCGTTTCTTGCAACGTTCACGGCTTCGCTTCAAAGGATCCTGTAACGAAGGGGTTCTCTCTTTCCTCTTTCTTCCTCTTCTTTTCTGTTTCTTTTCCTTCGTCTTCTTCTTCTGCTTCTTCTCTCTTTTTCTTTTTTTCTTTCTTTCTTTCTTTCCTTTTTTTTTTTCTCGTTTCGCTGCTCCGCGCATTTCCGACGGGAAATCCGCATTCAGATTGTAATGAATGTTTCTTTGTTGACGGAGCGAGCTGTAACAAGCGCCCTTAAGTAGTGAACGGGGGGGCTGACTTGTTTCGCGGGGCACGCTCCGGCAATCGATGAATATTCAGCGCGAGTGAGAAATTGATGTTTTCAATTTTATGCCCTCTGTTCGAACGGGGATCCCGCTACAGCGTGGGGTTTACGGAAAGGTCGTTAGAGATAGCGATTTTTCATTAAAATTTATGGCAGAAGGGACACGACTGGAAACGTTACTTCTGGCGATATATTTAATAGTGTATTCAAACATCTCTGCGCCAATCTTTTCACGTCAATAAAAAAAACGTGATAAAAAAAGAGAAAAAGAAAGGAAAAGAGATCTTGCGTGAATCTCAAATGATATAACGGATATAATTTCTTTGTACCTAGGGGAAAATCAAGAGTAGAAACAGAACAAAACGAAACACAACGGGGAGAAACTGGAATGATAGAATTTTGTTTATTTCCGACCAGGTTACTAAAAGTTTCACAACGCGTTCCGTTTGACAGACAGTTGAAATTCGATTTTGCATAATCAGCAGCCGACGTTTATCGTCGCAGTAATTAACTGTCAATCAACACAGTTAGCAAGAATCAGTCGAACCACGGCTATCCAAGTTAAGCTACGGAGTTTCGTGAAACTCGCCACTCCGTTTCCGTGCCGCAAGACCATTAGCCGATAGTTCTATTATACACGAGGAATTATCGATTCTTTCTTATTCTCGCCAACAACAAATCAAACAGATCGAAGATCTTCGCTGTTGTGCTACGTCAAAGCGACAAATGGAAATTTAATCGTAGTACCAAAGTTTTCTTTCTTTCTCTTCGCGCAACTTTGACTAGGAACATAAGAAACACGAGAGATTTCGAATATATCTCAGTAATAAGCGCCGTGTAGAAACGATTTCTACGGCTTCATATTCAGCTCGAGGACGACGGAAAATTGGACGCGAGGGGAAAGAAGAATCTTGTTCTCGACTTAACCGATTCTCGTCGCAGAAACCGATACGTTTAAATCTCCGCCCTCCCCCGGATAACACGGTTACGAAATTTAAAGTGTTATGACGACGATTCCATCTCGTTAGGCTCTATCAGTCGGTATAAAAGTCCTGGGCGGGCAGGGCGGGCCACTAATTTTCCGCGGATATTGCCTCGTTGCCCGGACGAGGCAATAGGAGAAAGGGAAGACGAAAGGAACGACGATGGAGAGAAAAAAAGAGGGAGAGATTGCCGTGCAGAAGGGTACTTACTGTCCAGCCATTTCGAGTCGTACTTCAGCGTCCTCTTGAAGCTGAACGCCTTGCGACCGGTGGTTAAATTGTACAGATCCGTACGGAAGATTACGGTATCGGCTTTCGTGAATTCGGCGTTGGTGCCGGAATAAAGAGCTGGCAGGTCCCCAGGATTGCCCTTTTCCACCCACACCGCCGTCGAATTGTCCGCAGGATCGTAAGGACACTTCGCTATGCCCATTCCCACGCCGGGGACGAACTCGTGGCGAGGCAAATGGGTCAGATTGCTCTGCAACAGACATTCACGCTCGATAAACACACGTAGACGATAAGGATTTCGCTTATACGCTTTCGTCACGTTCCGCGTCGGAGGGAACTTAAAGCCTCTGTTTAGTAGAATTCTTAATTGAAACCGGCAGAAGAGATAGCCGTGTGTCGGGTAAATGGTTGAACATCAGGTTTCTCCTTTTACTTTCTGATTCGTATCGATTTCTACGTATTTTACGTATTACGTTTCTATGTTTCCTATCTATTGGAATTCCATAATTTATGTATTTTATGTATTAAAATTCTGTATGTTCTACTATGTATTTCGTGTATTAAAATTCTGCATGTTCTACCATGTATTTTGTGTATTAAAATTCTGTATATTCCACTATGTATTTCGTGTATTAAAATTCTGTATGTTCTACTATGTATTTTATGCATTAAAATTCTGTATATTCTACTATGTATTTCATGTATTAAAATTCTGTATATTCTACTATGTATTTTGTGTATTAAAATTCTGTATGTTCTACTTATTAAAATTCTATGTATTCTATATATTAAGATTCTATCGATTTCTATATATTTTATGTACAAGATTAAAATATTTTAAAACTCTATCAGTTTTTATATATTCTATCTGTATATTAGAATATATTAAAATACGTTCTAATATTCAAATATATTCTATATATTAAAATTCTATTCATTCTACGTACGAAGACACTATAGATATTAAAATTCTATATATTCTGCGTGTTTTAAATTCTAACGATTTTAAAAAAACTTTAAACAATCTGTTAATTTGTCCGACTCCCTTGTGCAAATGCGTACTAACTCGGATAAATGTAATTGGCATTGAAATGGATACGATACATTGATAATGGGAATTTTATGATCATCAAGAGTGGTACGCCGCGAGGAAATTTGAGGCTACACGTGTACACGTGTGACGGAAATTCCGGTGCTGGGAATAGTAACAGGATCGTACGCAAAAGTTGTACGTTACCGTGCGAAACTCTATTACACGCACGGGAGTCGTAATCTTCGACAAAGCGAGACCAATATATTCTTTGACTTCATTACACGGGTACTTGAACGCACGATTCATTTACCTTGCTGCGTAACTGCAGCGCCGATGGCGCTGTGTTAGTGACAGATTCCACCCCGGGAAATTGATACCGAAATTACACACGGCAACGAGGCAGCAACATCGGACGCAGTTGACTAAATTTCGCCTGTTTTTTCCTTCCCGGATATATCCGCTTATCGTTAATTATCGATTCATTCGTTCAACCGTCGTTATCGCCTTTTATCTCCCTTTGAAACGTTAAATTCGAACAAACCCTGTTTCTAAATGCTAGAATTCTATTCAAATTCCAAAAACGAATTCCATTAAAAAGAAGTGTCTTCATTGATTCACTAAAATTTGAATTTTGAGATGAAACTGTACAATTAACCCTATTAAAAAGTTGGAGAAAGTTCATCTTTCGTTCGTTCGTTCCTCTTGGTTCCGGCGTTGCGTTCGAAACGCAAGAAAGAAAAAAAATTCTTCGACGAACGAGATACGGTACGAAACGAAGAACAAACATACAGAGAGATACTTACATAAATCACCCAATCCTTGGGCGAGTGAGCATTCGTGCCGCACATGTAGAGCCGATTGCCGTCCGCCATTGGCTGGATCACCCTTATGTGATTCCGGCAGTCGAAGTGCTGCGAAAAAAAAAAAAGGGGAAGAAAATTGAATTTTCGATGGATACGTGCGAAGAAACGCTTGGCTCGGAAAGCCGCGTGGAAGGAGGGCAGGAGTGGAGGGGAGGAGCGAGGGCAAAGAGTTTCGACGAGCGTGGACAGGGATTTTTCAGAAAATTATATAGAACGAGATCGAGGCAAAGGGTTCCGCGCCTCGTGGCCGATCACGTCGCGCCGCGCGTATTTCGCTGCGAATTGGCGCGCGGGAAATAAATTGGTTTTGTCGTCACGTAGAGAGTATTTGCGTGGACCTTACACCTCGCCGGTTGCGTACGCGATGAATACAGAATGAAGCTGCGATAAGCGCCTTTAAAAGTCGCCCGTTACGTCTCTGCCACCGACGGGATCAAGCGATCAACGAGAGGGCGACGAATATTCGACGATTGTTAGCGGCGCGATTTGCTATTCTTTGTCTCCAAACGAAGATTCGTACGGAGAAAGGGGTAAATATTCGTTTTCGTTCATTTTCTAGATCGGGACAGGTTTTATATCATTTGATGAACGAAAACAAGCAATATTAATCTGGTTTACAACTAATCTGATTTACAACTTCGTTGAATGTTGTAAACTGAAACGAGAAGATGTAAACAATTCGGTGAAAAATCGAAAGCGAAGGCATCTACGAATAAAAAGTGACTCTTTCGATTCAACGCTACTGGAAATTTTGACAACTGGCGATTAGAAAGGGGAGACAGATTATTTTCGAGACGATTGAATTTTTAAATTAAATTAATTACACAAAAGTCATTCTCCTCTAAATAAAAATATTATTTCTAAATTTTTGCTACAATTATATATTATCATAAAACTTTATTGATTGATAAATCAGTCGAATTAAAATTAAACAAAATATTTAATCATATTTATATATTAATTCCACTTTATATAAATAAATGATCTTTTATAAACTAAAATTTCATCTAAAAACACTTTCCGGTACTTTAAGCGTTACGACCTAATTTTTTAAAAATTGACGGACAATTTGTAGACCAATGAATACTCTATTCAACTAAAATAATTTAATTAATTTACCATTATATCTTCTTTCTAATTAATTTTAAAATTAATTATCCACATACAACATTTATTATAATTCATTCTATCCTCTTCAAACGCAGTTGTAAAACGCAGTTGTAAACCTCGAAAAAGGAGCATCTGATATACATGTCTGGTAATTATTTTTTCAGATGCAATACAAGTTACGAATAATCGAAACAAAATAAACGGGGGACGGTCGCGTCGAAGCGTAAATATCGTTGAAAAATCGGCAATTAGCGTGAGTTGGATAGAGGACTTCCATCTCGTTGGGAAATTATCTCTATATGAAAACATTATCACCGCCAAATTGGAAACGTCATCAGATGAACGAATCCGTTCTCAATTAAGTTCTCAAACGTCAACGCCGACCGATCGATACATATACTCCACAAAACGAACGTGAATCCCGTACCTCGAGCGAAACATTTTTCGTCTAAAGTTGTTTCCATTATTCCGTTTCGCTAAAAGTTGCGCGCGCGGCCGGTTGTCAGGTTTTAACGAATCTGTTCAATATCAAATTTCGTTTGGACATATTCCGCGGCCCCTGAATCGAAACGCACGGGTCCATCAAATGGAATTCCTCCTTTTCCTTTCTGTTTCCGTCTCTCAGTCGTCGGTTATTCATTTTACATGCAAAGCGAAGATCAACGAAGAAGTAACGAAAGCAGTGCGTTACGGTGCCCTCGGATGAAAAGGACTCGAGTTAAATACTTTGCCTCACAAAGAACGAAGAATAAACGATTTCGCGCGCTAGTCTTCCATTTTCTTTCGAGACATCGCGGACAATTTCAAAAGAACGTTCGTTCCTTTTGTTTCCACTTTTAATTATACCCTTAATTCGCGTTTTGCTAGAGAATTATCGATACATTTCTTTACCTTTGACGTAACGAGATATCACCGCGTTCGTCAAAGGTGCACGAGAAATTGCGTCTCTTTCTCTCTCTCTCTATTTTACTTCCCTTTATCGCGATAAACTAAAGCAATTGTGATTTTCTCTTCGTTTTTTCCATCCTTCTCACGATCGAGAATTGTTGACGAAATTTTATTTCTATCGGGGTTTCGCCCGTTTCTCTGCCGGAGAAGAGAAGAGAATCTTTGCGCCGTTTCGTTCTACATTCCCGTAATTACACCACCTCGGCGTTCCTATTTCAAGCGGCGCTTTAATTAGATTAAAGCGTTATTAAAATTCCGTCGAAAAGCAGCGCCAGCCAGACCGGTAAACGCGTTAATGAAATAAAGAAGTAATTCACCTCTGATTTCCCTTTGGACACACAATTTGCCACGTTGCTCGGCTCCAGATTAAGCGCGTCCCTCTGCAAAAGAAAAGAAAGCAAACCGGTTAGTTTTATCGCTCTGCAGTACACCTTCGCGAACGTAAAATCAAACTCAACAACTTATTTAATCGTTCGTTCGAACGTGCTCTCATCTCGTTCGTTTCCAAACGAGCAGTTTCGCACGTTTAAATTGTTCGGCGTCTCAAGTCGACAAACGACAACAATTTTCGTTTTTAATTAATTAATACCGGTTAAATGTATGTAATTTAATGTATATAATTATATATTTGCTCCACTTGCTTGGTAGGGAAATCAACAGACTGAGAGAGTGGAGCTCAGGCACGGCGAGGAAATTTCAATGTAGTGGGGAGATCGATGCAGTGGAGGGGGTAGCGATCAGGAAAGTAGGGGCAGGGCCGCCAGTTAGCCAGCTTTGCGATAAAAAGTTCAATCGCGACCTACACTGAGAACGACGAAATTTTTCGTCAGCGTGCTGTTCCTCAGAAAATATTAAAATTAAAGTTAAACCAATATTATTTATTTATTCGTATTCTGTATTGAATTGTTAACGCACATAGTAAAAAATTTAACAGTAACATTTCGTAATATAGTAAAGTAACTTTCGTAATATAGTAAATCTAATTTATAGTAAAGTAACTTTAATTTACTAAATTAAATTTATTTAATTAATATAGTAAATTTAACAGTAACGTTTCGTAATATAGTTCTAATAATAGTAATAATATTTATAACATATCTAATATATCTAGATATATAATATAATAATATATCATAATATATCTAATAATAGTAATAAAATTTAACAGCAACATTTCATAATATAACCTAATAATCTAGTAAAGTGTGGTACAATTCGAAACATGGGTCAGTATATAAACCTATCTAATCACATTTCTTGAATTAAAATTCACTTATATCTGATTCAAGCGAGGTTTGCTGCAATCATTGTCAATAACATTCGTCTGCAGTGGTTTTTAGCTCGATTCGAGCAATGTGAAGTAAACTTTAAAAGCCAAGGGGTTAAGGGGGCACAATTCTCGGCCACGCGACGCGACGTACTTTTGAATCGCGATCTCGATAAGAGATTCACTGGAGAAATGAATCGTTCCTCGGAGTTGAATGACTCCGACTCCAGCGCGAAACCTCGAAAGAGACGAATGCTAGAAAATTCGATTTCGAAGTCTCCGCCGTCGTAATTACGACTGCGAGTTCTCCTCGAAGGCTGGAAACACGGCATTCTTGCGTTCGTTTGACGTTCTCGCTCGCTCGCTCGCTCGGCAGCCGTCGCTCTTTTCTTCCTTTTTTTCCCTAGGGCAGCTTTCCTCGTGGCGGCGGCGGCGGCGGCGGCGGCGGCGACGACTGCTCGACACGGCCGACCTTACACAACGTTGAAGAGGCGTGACGAGTGCATGCTCGACGTTTCGCGAGCGCGAAGAAGAGGCTGCACTCGTGTCATTGTGCGGATCGCGACGCCGCGCCGCCCCGGCAGACACGGCCGCTCTTTTCCAAAGCTCCCCCTTGCGAGCTGTGTCGGCCGTGGAATAAGGTCAACAGACGGAGCCGAGGAAAGCGAGAGAGAAGAGTGAACGACTATCAAAGTCCGGCGGACGTGAATTCTTCGGCCGCGAACCAGAACGCTGCTGGCTGCTTCTTCTGACGTTTCACTTTAGGAACGTTTCGAACTGGGAACTTGTTGGTTCCGACTTCGATTATTGACGCGGTCGTTGCTCGGTCGATGAGCGTCTACTTCGGTGGACCCAGTTTCCACGTACGACGTGTGAAACTAAAGAACTACACACGTACTGTCCACGTTCACGCGAATGTTTGATTTGAATTTCTCCTACGGAGAAATGAAATTCTTTTACATGGAAAATTGTACAAGTGACGAGCAGACGGCGGATTTTCCAGATATTTAAAGATGCAAAAATTATAGAGAATTATACAATTTTTGATTTAACTTCCACCTCTTCGATCGCGTTCACAAAAATATGAACGCTCGCTTGGACAGTTTCTGTGAAACTGTTCAAATTCGTACCTGTTGATATGCTATTTTAGGTATTCTCCGTTTGCGATCACAACGACAAATCGTGAAGATTTCAAAATGAGGTCTTAAAGTACGATGAAATTAAGCATTAATAATGCCATTTCAAGAATGACGCAGGACGCATCGCGCTCGCGAGTCGTCGAGATTTTAGACGTCTACGTGTACTTTGGAAGGATCAAGTACCGTCTGCGAGGGCTTACGTGTGCGCATGTCGGTGACGATGAGCCCCCTTAAAGACGAAATGTACATAGTCTACACGGAGTTTAGAAAGAGCAAGCTTTAGCAAAGAGAGGAAAAGAGAATTTTTTGAAATTATTCTTATTCGTACGTCCACCCCGGCGATTGCTTTCTTTGATGGTGACACGAGGCACGTGTGTCTCGCTTTCAATCTCGTTAATTTTTCGTTAAAAGAGTTCTACGAAATATACCAAAAAGTTGTATGCATATTTCAGGTACAAACAATATTCATATGCACTCTCGAAAAAGCGAAACGTCAAATCTGATTTCTTATTCACTCAGGAAATGTTCTTCGAAACTTTGAATGGGTATCAAACAGAATTGAATGTCTACATGTATGACGCAGGACGATATCCAATATTTGTATTTCCTTATCTCTTCACGACCTATATTTTCTAACTTCTCGTTCTCCTCTTATTTTCGTCTCGAGAATATCATGTCAATAACGTGGTTCAGTCTTTACAGAACGAAATGACAAACAAAATAATATCGTTTATTTGCCGAGAAAGCCACCGAGAACAGTCCAGGTTTATTATCGGAGAGGAAGATAATAAAATTATTCGATTATTAACGTTTCTGTTCTAAAGTCTGGTATCTGATCTTTCGCCAAAGTTGCACTGCATTTCACGACAATACTCTATATATCTATACTCTATATATCTGTACAATAATAATTTACAACTGGTAATAATTTTAATTATTCCAAGGATTATCTATTAAGTGATTATCTCGTATTCATAATTATTCAGACGAACATCATAAATAATTGAACTGCAATCGAGACCGAATTGGTCTTCTTACCGTAGTTCCACGACAGAACTTTGTTAAATGATTTATATAACATGAAATTCAGATAACCTAAATAACGAAAAAGACGGAATTTATATTTATAAATTTTGTCTCAACTTGTTTTAAACTCTACTGCCTCCACCATTAAATTATCCAAACCATTTCTATTTGCTTCCATCGATATAACTTACTTCGTAAAGATTATAAATTCCGCATTCCGTACTTGTTAAAATATTCAACTCTAGACTTATAAAGCACGACATTTGGTCATTTTAAATTAATTAATTACGCTATGTAACTAAGAATCATTCCTCTTAGTAACACAATAACCTCAATAAATACCACAAATTTAATACAATTTCCGAGAATTTTTATTTCGTTCAGATATATTTTCATATCGGATTTGCAACGTACACGACAGTTCTCAATTATTTCTCAAACCAAAAATCGAACTAAATGAAGTGTCTCGCGAAACATTCATCGAATATATATATATATATATATATATATATATATATATATATATATATATATATGACGGAAAAACTGCAGGAACGTTCTCTCCGGTGAACCGGAGAAACGGAAACCGCGAGTTGCAGAGACCCCTCGGCTATAGATTTCGACGCCTTGGAGGAACGACCCCTGCTCGGCTCTCCCATTCAGAGCGGAGAGCGTTTCGTGTGCCAAAGCTCGTAGACACGATCCGGAAGAGGAAGTGGTTCGTTTGCACGGCCAATCGTCCGAAACGCGTTGCCGTTAACGATCGATCTCCTGCGGACGTCGCGTGCCGTTCCCCGCTCGTGTCACCGCCAGAAACCGCGTTGATCCTCGAAATTGTCCTAGCCCGAGGGGTGGAGGACCATCCGGAGGGGAGGGAGAGACACCCGAAACACCGCCCGGCGACAGTGATCTACGGCTAATAAATTAACGAAAGAATTGTTTTTGCCGGCGCACGCGACCACGCGGTGATATTTATTTCGAACGATGCGGAGGACAGTAACGTGGAAGGGGCGAAGGGGATTCGAAACGGGCGAATTATACTGCAGTGTCTGGCTTTCATGCATCTGATTTTTAGAATCCTATTCTGTTTTATTTTTGTTTCCTTTTTTTTTTTCTTTCTTTCTTTTTTCAGCGTTTGCATTGATGGAGTTAATTGTTAACAGCGACTAAAGCGAAGCTTGTGGATGTTGAGGACGCTTCATGTGAATTCACGCCTTCGAAAGGACAATTTGGAAAATAGTGTTTCAACAATTTGAGAAATTGTTTTATGCTACAGGAAGTATTAATACAGCTTGTGTATTTGCATGAAATGTGCAGTCTGTTAATTATTTTCAAATTGAAATGTATATCACTTTTGAAATAGAATTATTTTAAATGTAATCGAGCGAATATTGATAAAGCCTTTAAAAACAAATTGCACCAAGTTAAATTTATGGGCTGATATGTTATTAAATTCGAAAATTCAATGTTCGGCAATTCAATTCGCTTTTGACAAAATGTTATTTCAAGTATAATCTTTCAACGAACGCAATAGTCGTGGATCATACATGAACGATCGTAATACAACAGCATTACACAGTCGAATCGTGATTGAAATCAACCTAGAAAAATCCTTACAGTGCTCTACAATTTATCGGATTACGAATAATCAGCAGGCAACAAGGTCGAAATGTGTCGAAACACGAAACACGAAACACGAAACACGAAAGAAATTTAGGACAACATTAGGAAAACATTCCTCAGTCATGAATACAAACGAAAGAACTTGTATTACACTCGAAACTTCTAGCGAAACGACACGCCCGGAGAAACATCTTTACAAAAGTCAACAACTTTTAATCAGTTACATCTGCAATGCAAGCTTCAAGTTCCGTAATAATAATAGAATAAGACAACGCGAGTTACAACGCGACAAAACTCGACGCACAGAGTGACAATTCGAAGCCAA